ACATTATCCAATTAAACTGAACATTACAGATGTTCCTCATTTCCTCAAATTAAAGCAAAAAGATTTTACTATCTGATTTCAGTTGAAAATGCAAATAGTGCCAACATATGTTGGTGAAATAATTTATAATAGTTTTTCTTCCAATACTTTTTAACAAAATAATCAATTTTATATTTTTTATTCCTCAGGTCTCAAACTCTCTAAAGTCATTTGAGATAAATATAAAACTAGTAATAGATGGGAAAAATCACATAATACATGTTATCCATGAATCATGTTTTTTTTTTGTTTTTTTTTTTAAATCTCTTGAGACATAACTGTTTTTGTTTTTTTTTTAAATCTCTTGAGACATAACTGGAATTTCAAAAAATACAATAAAAGAACTCCTCCTTTAGAGAAAGTCACTATAAAAATTAGGCAAAACTCTTACATTTAATAAAACTTAAAAAAATATATTAATCTTCTGTTTCTAGGATGGGCCTTCCCAAGGGCAACAATTTCAGTCCACTACTATTACTTCACTAGAGGCCAGTGCACAAATTTGTGCACAGGTGGGGTCTGGCTGCTCCACCCTGATAGGGCCTATAAGGGAAGGGAACATGGAAGGTTGGCCAGTTGGCCCCGCCCATGATTGGGGTTATGGGGGGCCTATAAGGGGCATGGCTGACTGGAGGAAGGGACCTTGAGCAGTTGGTTGGCTGGCCCAACCTCCTGGTCAAACTCCTGGTTGAGGGGACAAATTGCATATTAGCCTTTTATTATACAGGATATAGAAAACAACATGGAGTTTACTTTAAAAATTAAGTATGGAACTGCTCTTTGACTCAGTTGATCCCTTCTACGAATATATCCCTAAGAAACCCAAAACACCAATCAAAAATAATGTATGCACCTCTATGTTCATAGCAACGCAATCTATAGTAGCTAAGATCTAGAAATAGTCCAAGTGCCAATCAGTAGATGAGTACACCATGGAACACTATGCAGCAGTGAAAAAGAAGGGTGTCTTACCCTTTGAGACAGTCTGGAGGGACCTGGAGAGTTATTATGCTAAGTGAAACAAGTCAGTCAGAGAAAGACAAGTATCTCATGGTCTCACTCATATGTGGAATCTAATGAACAAAATAAACTGATTAACAAAATAGATCCAGAGACACAGAAGCATGAAACAGACTGTCAAATCTCAGAGGGAATACAAGAGTGAGTGGAAAAAGATCAACCAAAGAACTTGTATGCATATATACCCATGGACATAGATAATAGGATTGTGAACACCTGGGGCAGGAGGTGAGGGGTGGGCTAAATGAGGTCAATGTTGGGGAAAGGAAGAATATGTAATATTTTCAACAATAAATATATTTTAAAATCACTTTTTAGGCAATTGCATGTATTAGCATGGCCTCAACTAACTTACATAATGACAAACCTGAATATCAATAAAAAGATAGAATTATATTTTTCTGAGTTCCAGTCAGACTTACTGGATATTTGGGTATCTGAGATGAATACATATAATGACAAATTAAATAAGTCAAAACATACCCTCTTTCTTCTCAAACTTAGTCCTTTTCTTAGATCTCCTAAGATTCCCTAAGCCAGAAACATGACTCAATCTTTACATCTTACCCTAAACATCCAATAAATAAAGTATTTTTTGACTCATCTTATATAATATTTCTGGAATGTAAGTGTTTTCTTCAGCCTTCTTGCCATCTCTTTAGCTCAGGTTTTAATCATTTTGAGTTTATATCCTGAAACCTAGTCTCCTTCATTATAGATGGAATCTCCTTTTCATTGAAAATATTTTTCTCACTCATCACAGAAAAACCTAAAATATTTACCTAGCTGGTTAATTTCTTTCTTTCTTAAAATTTAATAATGGCACTCCATAGTTTTCAGTATAAAATCTAAATTTCTTAACATAGCATAAAGGTCCACTGCGAGTTCTATATCTCAATGGTTTTGATTTTAACCCTGGGATCTGTTGCCATATCCTATATAATAAAAGAGTAATATGCAAATTAACCATCACTCTGCTATGCCCACAAGTCATGCTCACCAACCAAACAGGAGCGGGTAGGCAAATTAACCCAACCAAGATGGCTGTGGCCATGGAGCAAGCAGGAGGCTTGGGCTTCCCTGGCAATGGAGGAAGCCAAGCTTCTGGCCTCTACTCAAGGCTACAAAGTTTCAATTATTGAAGATAAAAAAATCCCAACAAAAATGGCAGCAGCCACAGAGCTGGAGAGAGGAAGCCAAGCTCTCACAGCCCTGGCCTACCTCGGCCTCTACTTAAGGCTACAAAGTTTCAATTATAGAAGATAAATATATCCCAACAAAAATGGCTGCGTCCATGGAGTGAGCAGGAGGCTTGGCTCCAATCAAGGCTACAAAGTTTCAATTATAGTAGGTAAATAAATCCAAGATGCCAGGGCCTCTGCTTGGGTTGCTGGGGGGCATGGCCAGACTGAAAACTACCACAGGCCCCTCACCCAGGCCACCCCACGCTCCAAGGGAACCCCCACCCTTATGCGGGACACCCTTTAGGGCAAACCAGCTGGCTCCCACCCATGCACCAGGTCTCTAGCCTATCTAATAAAATAATAATATGCAAATTGACCATCACTCCAACACACATGTGGTCAAAGATGGCTGCCCCCATGTGGACACAAGATGTCCACCACAAGATGTCCAGCAGGGGAGGGTAGTTGGGAAGAATCAGGCCTGCAGGGGAGGGCAGTTGGGAGGGACCAAGCCTGCAAGGGATTACAGTTAGGGGCGATCAAGCTTGTAGGGGAGCACAGATAGGGGTTACCAGGCTAGCATAGGAGGGAAGTTGGGGATGCTTGGGCCTGCAGGGAAGAGCAGTTGGGAGGGACCAGGCTTGCAGGAGAGAGCAGGGGAGGGAAGTTAGGGGTGACCAGTCCTGCAGAGAGGGCAGTTAGGGGCAATCAGGCTGACAGGGGAGCAGTTAGGCATCAATCAGGCTGGCAAGGGAGTGGTTAGGGGTGATCAGGCTGGTAGGCAGAAGTGGTTAGGGGCAATCAGCAAGGCAGACAAGCAAGCAGTTGGGAGCCAGCAGTTCTGGGTTGTGAGAGGGATGTCAGGCTGCCCGTCCCTTGAGGGGTCCCAGATTGGAGAGGGTGCAGGCTGGGCTGAAGGACATACATCCGCGTGCACAAATTTCGTATTATCTCATATTTATTCTTTCACAGAATATAGAACTGTATAAAACTCAAATTTGCTGAGTTCTTGGGAAGATTGCTGATTATCTTTTTCAAATGGCCAAGTGCCCTTCCTAGGTCTTTCATAGGATACTTTGTTTATCTTAATCATTTAACATTCATAATTGTAAAAAAGACAGAACACCTTTTAGAGAGATGGATTTCAACTCTGTATGCTTTATATAAATGCTGTTTAATTTTTTATATATACATTTATTGATTATATAAAGTTTCTACAGTTTGTCTTTTCCTATACTGCAGTATATATCTCAAGAAGTAATATGCTGTGTTATTCTGAATCTTTAATTCCTTGATTATATTTTTGGAAGTACTTACTGGACCTCAAACAATTAATTTTAGCAAGTTTAACTTTATTCCCATTTTCTCTTTTTTAAAAAAATGAGAGACCTGGATTAGACCAAAGGTTCCTACCAGCCATCCATTTTGAGAATTTATATCAAGTCTGAGTAAATCTCCTGACACCAGATTTCTTAAATGATAGAATGTAATCATGGCATTAATTCCTAATGTTGACTACACATAACATCTGACATATTGAAATTAATAAAACAAATCAAAGATTTATTTATTAAGATTATATATATATATAAATATATATATATATATATATTTATATATATATAGTCATTCCACCATTCTGGTTGCTGGATATATATATATACTTAGCTTGATTTTGAAAAGTTGATCAAATCAAGGTTAATAATTTGTTGAGAACTTCACATGTTATTTTAACAACTTAACTCAGTATTGTTTATCCTTCACTACTTCTATCAAATTATTAACTTACTTATGGAATAGGTAGTAAGTTAAGTTCTTGTTACATTGTAAACTGCTTTTAAACAAGAGCCACATGTTATGTTAGAAAATTAATAGTCCATAAGGTTTAGTAAAATCTTAAGTACAGAAGATTGTAGTAAAGCTGTAATTTAAAAAATGTCAATTTTTCATTTATTGTTATTGTACTGCAATTTTTAATGGATTTGTGAGAGCACAATACATCAATTAAAATTTTGAGGGAGGGAGGGAGGGAAGGAGAGAGGGAGAGAGACAATGATGTGAGAGAGAAAAATCAATTGGCTGCCTCCTAGGGATCAAACCTACAAACTACAAATGGGCCCTGACTAGAAATTGAACCCACAACCTTTTGGTGTAGGGACGAGGGTCCAACCAAAAAACCACCCAGCCAAAGCAAGAAACATTGATTTTGTTGTTCCCCTTGTTTATGTATTCATTGGTTGATTCCTGTATGTGCCCTGAGCAGGGATTGAACCTCAAACCTTGACATATCAAGTCAACTTTAACCAACTGATCTACTTGGTCAGGGCCAGTACTGTAAATTTTAAATTAAAATTGGCATATTTTTTCAAAGGAATCAGGAATATTTACTATAGGACTGACATTATTTATAATTGGTAAAAACTTATAAAAATAAATTAAAACAAGATAAAAAGATAATTTTGTTGCGCACACTAATGGGTAAATACAATGCTTTCTTTAGTAGATATTTCAACAAAATTCACAGGAAAAGGTTTCTGTTTTATTCTTCTAATATTTTTCTTAAAAATGCAATGATGGTAATAAATGAAATCTGATAATGGTCATCATATATATATATATTAATTCAAATAGGATAATTTGAAATAAAGTGCTATCCTAATACAGCCAAAGATTTAATAGCATAAAGAATAAGCGATTCTTCCCCCATTTGCCACCAAGGTACTGAGTCTTTGTAGAGATGAAAATGCCATACTATACCTTGATTTCTTCTATTTCGTCTGGTACTATCTTGTATGCTGATATAGTCCCACCCAACCTGAAATCAGAAGAAAATATTCACAAAACTGGCAATAGTGTATAACAAAATACGACTATTGACATCAGAGTGCCACCAATAATGCCCATTGCCAACCCCAATAACCATGAAAGCAAAACAACCATTTTATGATTAAATTTTTCATATATTAGTGAAAAAAAGGAATATAATGAATGACTACTGTAAGAGGAAACATTAAGTTAGACTGTTAACCATAACTAAACTTCTCTAATTGATGGTTTTAATGATATTAAAACTGCCACTTTTACTGATGGATTCTGTCACAACTGAGATATACCAAGAATCAGTAGCAGACATAGTGTGTGTTTTTTTTGTTTCTTTGTTTTTATAATAGATTTAATTTTTACAGTAGTTTTAGGTTTAGAGAGAAAATAAGCAGAAAGTAAAGAAATTTATTTCACAGATTCCAAACCACAGTTTTCTTTTAACATCTTGAATCAGTGTGAAATATTTGTCACAACTGATGAGCAAATATTAATTTTGCTTCTTTTAAAAAGTAGTTTAAACAAGGATTTGGAGAGATGTGTGTACCCAGAACTGTCCAATGGAAAAAGATGAGTGTTTAAGAATTACAGATTTAAGGCTTATGATCTTTGCCTTGAGGCAGTGATATCATTACATATCATGTTTGTTTGTTTGAAATTTTTTGAAAAGCAGCTAAGATTTATATAACACTCACCATTCGCTAGGCATAGTATATAATATCTAATTTAACCGTTATAATGTCTCTATTGTAAAAATGAAGAAATTGAGACACAAAAATATTCAGTAATTTTCTTATGTAACTAAAGGAGCTAGTAAGTCAAGATGCTAATTGAGATATACATTAAGTATAAAATACATAGCAGATTTTAAATACTTAGTATAAAAAGGTTAATTTAGTGATTATGTGCTAAAATAACATTGTGAATATACTGAGTTAAACAGCTATATTATTAACTTAGTGTTCAGATAATTTTTTTGCATACTGAAATAAAGTTATTTATTTATTTATTTATTTATTTATTTATTGGGTGACATTGGTTAACAAAATTATGCATGTTTCAGGTACACAATTCTATAATACATTATCTGTATACTGAATTGTGTGTTCACCATCCCAAGCCAAGTCTCCGTTCATCATCATTTATCCCCCATGCCCTCCACTTCCTCCCTCAACCTCCTCTCCCCTGGCAATCACCACACTCTTGTCTGTATATACAAGATTTTTTGTTTTGTTTTTTGTTTTCCCTTTTATACTCAATCTCTTACCTTCCCCCTAAGTTCTCCCAATGCCAACTGACAACCTGCTCTCTCTACGAGTCTGTAATTATTCTGCTTGTTTATTCATTAGATTCCACATAGGAGTGAAATCATATGGTACTTGGCTTTCTCTGACTGGCTTATTTCACTTAGAATAATGCTCTCCAGTTACATTCATGCTGTTGCAAAGTGTAAGATTTCCTTCCTTCCTTCCTTTTTTAATTTAATTTATTATTATTTTTTTTTAGGGCCAAGTAGTGTCTCTATATATAAAAGCTTTAGCAGCCGTTACAATGGAACGTCCAGTGCCCTTCTGTTATGCTCATATGCATGCATACAAGTCCCTTGGTTGATCTTTTACCCCTTTGCCCCCCCCTTCCCTCTTAAGTTGGGCACTCTGTTCGATGCCTCTATGACTCTGGTTCTATTTTTTTGTTCATCAGTTTATGTTGTGTATTATATTCAACAAATGAGTGAGATTATGTAATATTTATCTTTCTCTGACTGGCTTATTTTGCTTAGCATAATGGTCTCCAGTTCCATCCATGCTGTTGCAAATGGTAAAAATTCCTTCTTTTTTATAGCAGTGTAGTATTCCATTGTGTAGATGTACCACTATTTTCTAATCCACTAATCTGCTGATGGGCAATTAGGCTGTTTCCAATTCTTAGCTATTGTAAATTGTGCTACTATGAACATAGGGGGTGCATATATCCTTTTTGTTTTCTTGGGATATATTCCTAGAAGTGGGACTGGATCAAATACATGTGTGGCTGGAGAGTATCCCAACTTCAGATCCATGAAATGAGCTCTAAACTCCAATAAAAACTTAAGGATTATAAAGAAACAGATAGAGCAGAGTAAAAGCAAGATGCATCTAATGAAAACTTCTTGGGAAATGACTTTAACACACATTGGTTATCCCAATTCGTTTGGTATGTAATCACATACACTGTCTTGTTTTGTTATTCTTTCTGGTGTGAATGTTTGTGTGTATGTTTTCACATAGCATTATAAATTAATAAAAAGAAGGAAGAGTTCTTATTTTTTTTAAAAGATTCCTCTCAATGTTTACTATTCTAATAAAACACTTTATATGTAATTATTGAATAAATATTATGAAGAGGTTTTACATTGAGAAAGAACTATTAAGGATGTACCTTGTTCATTCTCCATTTCTGTTTTCCCTGTTGCCTAAGTGGTTCATCCTGGCTTTCTGCCAAAGCTAATCCAAAATTCTGACAATATACCTTTGATATTATAAGCTACTAAAGTTATGAGTCTGAATAGCACTTGAATGAGCATATCCCTATAGCATTCTTTATGGTCCAGCAACATGCATTTGTAATAGTATGGATATTCAATAAGACACTAAAAAAGAACCAGAGGTACTTTCAATAAGATTGTAATTTTAATTGCTTTCTCTGCATACTTATAATCTGTTGGGGAGGGGGCAGAAATCTGCTAAAAGCATAAGAGTTGCTCTCAATTGGCAGTGATTTTGTTTCTAGGGGAACACCTGTCAATGTCTAGATACATTTTTTTAAATTTATTTTTATTGTTGAAAGTATTACAAATGTCCCCCAATTTTTCCCATTTGCCCCTCCCCCCCCAACCTGGCTCCAGCCCCAACCCAGGGCTTCACCACACCACTGTCTATGGATACATTTTTTATTAGTAATAGCTTAGATGGTGTTATAGTCATTTAGTGGGTAGAGGCCAGAGATGCTATTTAACATATTACAATGCAAAAGAAAGCTTCCCATAACAATGATCTGGCCTAAAATATCAATAATGCTAAGAATGAGAAACTTTGCATTAATCTAATATAGAAGCTAAATAGAAAATATGAAAAATTTTTTAGAAGTATCTACAATATATTTACCATGGATTTGCTACAGAGAATTAAAAAGACTATGTTTACCACAGGAAATACACATGCACATACACTCAAACACACTATCTAGAAATAAACCTAAAATTTTTGAAAAATCTGCTTTTTCACCATTGAAAGCTTGTGTCCACTAATAAATAACTGTTTGTGAAGGCACATCTTTCAAATTCAGATTCTGTCTAGACAAACTTAGGGCCATGCTCATTCAATCTTTTAAGATGATTTCTTTGTCTATTTATGTATTTGTATGTTTGTTAATTTATGTGAATTACTTTAATCAGGTATTAATTCTCTAAATTAGCAAATGTCCTAAATCTATTATTTTGTACCAAAACATTTATAATAACTGTCTGGAAACTGAAGACATTTGAGTTTGTAGCTCTAGATTTTACTATATATCAACTTCAGTATAGAATATCTGAGGACATGAAACTATAATCATTTTAGAGTTTCCACAGAACCTAATACAATTCTTAGAAAATCAGTGCTTAATAAATATCTGGTTTATTGATTTTTTAATAACCTTTGGAATATTTTACAGCAAATTTTGTGTTGGAACAAAATTGTGTACATAATGTCCAAAATAACCACATAGTTTACACATTTAAATGTTATTAAAACATTTGCTTATAAATTTTATCTTGATTGGGCTTATTCCCATCTTTGCTAGAAGATAAACCCTAATCATTTGGTTACAGTTTATACTCTTAATCCAATAATATGGAAAAGAAATAGTATAGTTAGAATTCACTGTGGTAAGCATTTGTAAATAAATACGCTCTTGATTCAAATTAGCCTATTTTCAAAGAATATCAAAACATTACAGCAAATGAACTTGCTATACAATGGTACTGCTAAAGCATAATAAGAAACCTCATAGTAAGAATACATAAGAAATACTTTTTCCATTGCTTATCTCCTTCTGGAAGTCTACAAAATTCCCTTTTTGCTTCACAACAAATAGTGTTACAACAGTGGATATCCATATGCAAACAAATGAACTTTGATCTAACCCTCACACCTTACATAAAATTAACTTATACTAATGTTAGGTCTAAATGTAAAATTCTAAAATTTTGTAAGAAAATACAAGAAAAAAAATCTTTGTAACCTAGAGCTAAGACAAAAAGTTCATGAAGTTTTTCTCTGTGAGAGAAATTGCTAAGAAAATGAAAAAATGAAAAAAGAACATATTGGGGGGAAATGTTGAAAAACCACATATCCAAGAAAGGGCTTGTATATATCTTTACAAATAATATATAAAACTATATAAACTTAACACTAGGAGAGTAAACAACTGAATTAAAAATGGGCAAAAGAACCCTGGACAGTGTCACTCTGTTGGTTGGGTATCATCCTGTGCACCAAAAGATTGTTGGTTCGATTCCTTGGTTAAGGCATATGCCAAGGGTTGCAGGCACGAATGTCAGTAGGGGAAATGTAGAAGACATCTGATAGATGTTTTGCTCTAAGATGGATATTTCTCTCCCTCTCTCTCCCTTCCTTTCTCTCTAAAAATCAATAAAAATCCTAATATATAAAAAGCCAGGGGCTGTAAGGACCACCAAACAGCAAGCTAGGAGCTGATAGAGCAGGATGAGTCACCATGAAGGGACCCCTACCTGGATCAGGGGTGTGGCCAGCCTTCAAATCACTAGCAGCCCCTAGCCTGGGCCGGCCAGTGATGGAGAGGGGACCCCCACCATGATTGGGGCATGGCCAAAATGCAGGTGGCTCCTAGCTTAGGCCTCCGGCCAGTGCCCCAGAGGGGACTTCCACCACTTGCCTCCCCTACAGGTCAGGTTCCCCACTTCCCTCCCCTACAGGCCTGGTCCATCCAACT